ATACACACACACACACTGAAATTGTTCAAATCATTGTAAGCATGGATATCTCCCCAAATATTTTTTATTTCTTTGTGGAAACATTCAAAATTCATTCTTCTAGCCTTTTGAGATATGTAGTATTCTAGCCAGGCGTGATGATGCATGCCTTAATCCCAGCACTCAGGAGGCTGAGGCAAGAGGATCACCACAGATTTGGGGCCATCTTGGGCTACATAATGAGTTCAAGGCCAGCCTGAACTACACAATGAGACCTTGTGTCACAAACAAAAAAAACAAATATATTTGTAGTCACCCTGCACATTGCAGTAGAACACCTGAAATTATTTCTCTTACCTAACTGTAATTTAGTACCTGTTGATCACCTTTTCTTCAGCTTTTCTCTATGCCTCCCTTTCCCATCCCACACTCTTCAGCCTTTGATAGGCACTGTTCTATTCTCAACTTCTGTGAGATCTCCTTTCTTAGATTTCACAAATGGGTGGTCATGCAGAATTGTCTTTTTTTGTGCCTGGGTTATTTCACTTAGCATTATGTCTTCTGGTTCAGTCCAGGAACTCTTTTATTTTCCCTGAAAATCTTAATACTTATTAGCATGCAACAATGTCTGTGTAATGAAGGATTCAATATTTATTTTAGTCTATAATTTGGCTTGATTTGATTGTGCCCATCTCTCCAGAATACAGTATCTAGGCTATTTTCACTGAAACTGTGGTCCTTACCACTATTTCAGCAGTAGAGGGAGCCTCAAGCCCAAGTTTGTCACAAATCTGTGATTGGTGTATTGTTTAAGATGAATTTGGGGGGGGCCTACACAAGGTAGTCTGTTTCTGCTATTTCTGTAGGTCTCCACCAGGGGCCGGGGTGGGCCCAGATGCCTTGTTCACAGTTACTGGCCTGTGGTTAGGCACTGCAGGATTCCACCCAGCACTGAGCCTCACCATGCAGGGTCTGGCCTTTGACTCCGGAGTAATGACTGATGTCCACTTCCTTTTTCTTCCTTGAAATGGATATTAACTCTCCATGTTGCACTGCTTAGGTTTGGGGAAGTAATTGGGGTAGGCAGACAGTCTTGCAGCCATCTCAGCTGCTTTGTATCAGATCTGATAGATCTGCCCACAGATCTATAGATCTGATAGATCTGATAGATCTGTCCACAGCGTACAGGGGCAGGGTAAAAACATGCACTGAGGTATTTTGTCATCTAGTGTGGTTTCTGTGGCCTGAGGCTGCCACAGCTGTCTGAAGGTAAAGAGGGCCACAGTGTCATTTTCGTCTGCTTAGGCCACAGTTTGGTCTGATACTAACATGGGTTTAGAGGTTCCATCTGTGGGCGGTGGCCTGGAAAGAGAGGCTATCGAATTTCACCAGGGCAGGCTAGTCGCTTAGTTCCAAAGCAAAACCTCGGGCTTATTTCCCTGTCCTACCCTCTAGCAAATGAAGTCTTTCTTATGTTTCCTTGCCTGAGGTTGGCAAACAAAAGGTACAAATAATTGTTGATGGTTACCAGTGTTGGTGCTAAGCTGGGTTGCACCTGAGGCTCGTGGCCACAGGAACCAGTGTGGTCCTTGGGCTCACCCAGCACCAAGCTACACTTGTAGCACCGAGCACAAATCTAGCTTGTAGCGCTTGGAGGTTTTTGTCTGGCTCCATTCAAACACTCTGTCCTCAGAACAAGAGAGTGGGTTTTGTGTAGTACTTGATTTTCACTCTGTAGTACTGTCCCAGGAACTAGTTGAAGCACTTTAAGTGTACTTATTAACTCATTTAATCATCATAATCCTGTGAAGTTGTTATTACGGTTTTTCACATAAAAACTGAGAGACATAGCTCTTAAGTAGTAGAAGTTGATGTAGTCTTAATTTTTTATTGATGTATGTAATCTCTTTATATTGAGCATCGGTAAAATAATATAAATTATACATCTAAATAGAAAATAAAGAACGCATACAAGCAAGTTATAAAAAATTACCAGTATAATATTCAATCATTTTAACAAACAAAATTTAAACTAGAAGTACCATCTTATTATAGTAAAGTTGGCATAAATTAAGAAGTCTGACAGTACATACCAAGAATTGATAAAATGAGGCAATAGGAATTTTCACATAGTGCTAATAGAAGTAAAAAATTGTACAGTTACTTTGAAGACTAAATTTGGCAGCTTCTTAGAGAAGTTAAAAACATGCATATATTCTAATATCATAGCAGCATTGTTTTTATCATGTCAGGAAATCGGAAGCCAATTCAGTGAAAAGGAATTAAAAAACTGGCATTGTTCATGCACTAGAAAACAACAATTTAAATAACCAACTAGAGGGCTGGGGATTTAGCTCAGTGGTTCCATTGCCTGCCTTGTCTGAGTTCGATTCCTGGTACCAAAAAAATAAATGCACATGTCTTGACATGAATAAATCTCAAAAATACTTAGTAGTGATAAGACAGAGCCATAGAGTATTTTTAAGAAACTGTACATTTTAAGATGTATAGTAACATCTTATGGTTTTGCTTTTCATTTTCGTAATGCAATAATTGACTTTGCATATCTCTTCATATGTTTCTGTGCCATCAGTATATACTTTGGTGAAGTGTTTGTGCATTTTTAAATCAGGTTTTTAATTTTGGAGGGTTATATATTGTGGTTACAATTTGTTTATCAGATGAGTGATTTGCAGTTTTCTTGTAATCTCTGGCTTGTCTAATTTCATAGTCTTTTGAAGGATAGAAGTTCTTAATTTTGATGAAATTCAGTTTAACACTTTTCTGTTATGGATGGTATTTTTAATATTGTGTATAAATCTTTGTCTAACTAAAGGTTGCAAAGATTACCTAGGTTTCCTTCTACTAATTTTATAATTTGAGGCTTTTTGCCTTTACATTTATACATTAATCAGTTCTAAGTTAACTTATGTATCAGACAAAATATAGTTTGAAGTTTATATTTTTACAATTTGGTATCTAGTTGTTTCACCATCATTCATTGAAAAGATTGTCTTTTTCCACTGTATTACTTCTGAACTTTTGTCAAAAGTCATTTGACCACTTATTTGTGAGTCTGTTTCCGAACTCTATTCTTTTCCCTTTGTCTTTATGCCAGTACTATGCTTTTTAATTGTTGTAACTTTAGGTCAACTTGAATTGGGTAGTATAAGTCCTAACATTGCCATATAAATTGTTTTCTTACATGTACTATACATCTTATAACAGCTTGTCAGTTTTTTAAAAAATGATATTTTAGTTGGGATTGCAGTGAGTTTATAGCTTTAGTTTGGGAGAATTGATGCTTTTGAGATTATAATGTTAATACAAATAATAAGTTTTAAATTCATATTTAGTTTTAGAGTTTAAATTAGTTGTTAATAAATAGAAATACAATTGAGTTTTGTGTTCATCTTATGCCCCGCATCCTAACTAAACTTATGTTTTAATTGTTAGCATTTTTTTTTTTGTAAATTCCACCAGATTTTCTGTATAGACTCTCCTGTTATCTACCCATAAAGATAGTTTACTTACTCCTTTGTAGTACAGATACCTTTTATTTTGTTCGTTTTCCTTATTGCCCTGGCTGGGCGTCCAGTATGATGTTGAATGGATGTAGGGAGGGCAAACTCCTTCTGTCATTCCTCATCCTAAAAATGAAGCATTTAGTTTTCCACTGTTAGTAATGCTCACTGTAGATTTTCCATAAGCATCTTTTTAAGATTGAGGAAATTTCTTTCATTCTAGTGTGTTAAAGCGTCTTTATAAGTTTTGGGTATTGGATTTTCTCATATGCTTTCTTTTTATTCTTTTAATATGGTGAATCATACTGACTGGTTTCCAAATGTTAGCCTGGTATTCCTTTAATAAAGCAAAACCCAGTTGGTCATCAGATGGCCATTGTCCTATTGTCGTACTTATATATTGTTAGGTTTGCTAAATGTTTGTGAAGAATTTTTTACCTTTATTCATGAGAAATAGTGACCTATATTTTTATTTTCTTTTAATGTCTTTGTCTTTTGGTATCAGGGTAATGTTGACATAACCCCTTTTAATTTTTCTGGAAAAGATCATGTAAAATTGATATTCTTTCTCATAAATGTTTGGTATAATTCACTAGTGAAGTCATTTGCACCTGCAGCTTTCTTTGAGAACATTTTTAACTACAGATTTAATTTCTTTAATGTATGTAGAACGGTTTAGCCATTCATAGCATAAGTTCACGATAAGTGAACTTTGGTAGTTTTCGTTCTCTAAGATTTTTGTATTTCACTTAAGTGTTGAAGTTATTGGAATAAAGTTGTTGATGATATTTTCTTATTCTTTTGGTATTTGTGGCAAATAGTAATGTGACTTTTTTCATTTCTGTTAACAGTAATTTTTTTTTTTTTCCTGATCTACCTGGCTAGGGCCTTATTAATTTTGTTACTTTCTCCAAGAAGTAGCTTTTGGTTTCATTAATTTTTCTCCACTCTTTTTCTACTTTGTATTTCACTGATTTCACTCTTCATTGTTTCTTTTCTTGAGTTAAATTTGCCCTTTTTATCTAGTTTTTAAGGTATGATGATTAATTTGAGTTCTTCTTTCTAATATAGACATCTAGTCATAAATTTCTCCCTAAGTACTGCTGTAGCTGTATCCTAAAAGTTTTATTATATTGTGTTTTAAGTCAATTCATAATAGGTTTTCTTTTATTTCTTTTGGCTCAAAGATGATTTAGAAGTTATTTAGAATTGCCAAATATTTGGGAACTTTTTAGGTATCAGTTTCAGATTTTTTCTATTGTGTTTAGAAGACAGTTTGTATGACATGGATTCTTTTCAAATTTATTGAGAAACTTTTATGCCAGAATATGATTCATCTTGATAAATGTTTTGTGTATACCTAAAAAGAATTATTGTGGCCTGGGAACTTAGCTCAGTGGTGCTGCTGCCTGCCTTGCTAGCGCAAGGTCCCAAGTTTTTGGGTCCCTGGTACCCCAAAAAAAGAAGAATATATATCATGTTGGATGAAGTACTGTATTCTATAAATGTCAGGTCCAGTTGATTGTGTTGCTTGATTATTCTATATCTTCTTATCAAAAAAGGAAAGAAAAGGCTCAAATCCATGCAATTAATAAAAAAGAAGAAGTCACAACATATCCAACAAAAATCTAGAGCATCATCAATGCCTACTTCGAGAAACTGTACTACTCTCCTAAAATAGATTACACAAAAGAAATGGACACATTTCTAGATGCATGTGAATTACTTTTGAGTTTTACTAGAATAGCCCTTATTCAGTTAGTGGCTGTCAAACCATTTTGACCATGACTGACAATAAGAAATGTATTTTGCGTGGTAGCCCAGTGTGTACATATGAATGTATATATGTATGTGGCGTATATGTGTATAGTTTTTGAAATTATAGTTGGATTTCGGTAATGGATTGCAGTCCATGTAAGAGAGCATTGTGGTAAGTCAGAAGACATAGACCAATATGAGGCATTGTCATTGTTTAGTGGAGGTGGAATATGAGTTATTTTTGTGTAATATTATGTCTTATATAAAACTGATTGCAAAAAACTGTTGATTTTGTTTGAGGTAGACTTGAATGATTTTGTGTTTTGTTTTGTTTTGTTTGTTTTAAAGCTCTCTGATCCCTCTGATTTACCAAGGAATGCCTTTAGGATTTTTACCATTCTTGTGGAATTTTTATGTATTGAACATATTGATTATGCTTTGGAAACAGGACTTGCTGGTAAGTGTATTTTGTTAAACTTTTCATTAAAGTTCTCTGATCCTGCTTGTTTAATGTTGTATAGTATTATTTCATATATCTTCATCTTTCTATGTTGCATTCAGTTTGGTACAATGAATTTTGAACTTCTGTAATGCAAGGATTTGCCAGGTGCTGAAAACTGTGTAGACAGGTTCTCTTATACTATTTACATCCAGTGAGGTAAGGTAATGAGCTACATTTATCACCATAGTGTATCAGAGAATATATTACAGTGCTCTAAGTTATAAAATGTCAAGGAGCAAAAATGATGGCGAGAACTTCTCTGGTTGAGAATTAAGAAAGTAACTTTTAAACAAAAGAGCATTCAAGCCTGGTGTGGTGGCACACACCTGTAATCCCAGCACTTGGGAGGCTGAGGCAGGAGGATTGCTGTGAATTCGAGACCAGCCTGGGCTACGTAGTGAGTTCCAGGTCAATATCAACTACATAGTGAGACCCTGTGTCAAAAAACCAAAAAAAAGAAAAAAGAGCATTCAAAAATAAGTCTGGGAAGGAATAGACTTATACTGTATTAAAATTTTTTTTCTCTTGATCTTTTGGATGTATTAGTTATATTAGCAATATAATGATCTCTTCCTTCAGTTCCAGTCTCATGGATCTAATTACCTGCTTGACCTCAATAGCTGTTCAGTGGGCGCTTCAAACTTAACATGTCCAAAATAAAACTTTCTTTCTTCTACACTTGTTCCTCTCCTATCTTTAAAGGGCTTTGCCATTTACCTGTTGCTCTAGCTCCAAACCCAGGAGTTGCCTTAATTCTTCCTTTTCTTCAGCCCATATAGCCAATCCATTAACAAATCCTTTATATTAACATACTAACTAAAAGGTCATCTGCTTTTCCCCATCTCTATTGGTGCCACCCCAGTTTAAATATTGCCATTTTGTAACTGGTTAAACACCCTAGTTAAATATTGCCACCTAATGTCCATTCTTGCCTTTCCAGGATACTGACTTCATGTAGTGGCCAATTTAATTATCATTACCTTATTTGCGACCCTTTAGTGATTTATTATTCTTAGAGAGAAACCAGTAATAGGCTCTTCAGAAAAGCCTGGCTTGGTCTGTATCTTACACATTTATCCTTACCTCTTAATGCATTTCACCACCCTACTCCAGTGACTTTGGTCTTCCCTCTTTTTCTTCGCTTAGACTTTCTGTACTTGGTGTTCTCCCCCCAACACACACACCTTTTTCCTCAGTTTGAGAAAACTGAGAAGCATTTCTTTGCTGTTACTCTCAGTTGAGATCTCAGGCTGTGTTTCTGTCTTCTGATCTCAATTAAGATGCCACATTCTCAGAGAGGCCTTCGCTGATCATCTTGGCTGAAGTAACATTCCTCTCAGCCCAGTTACACATTGAATTAACTTTAATATAATATTTATCACAGTGGAATTTTTTCACTTGTTTGTGTCTACATCCATTTAGCAGAGTTTACTCAACTAATATTTACTACATGCCTATTCCTGGACACATGAAATTTACATTCTTATGGAAATGGTAGACCAATGATTAGGAAGTTCAATGAAGAAAAATGAGTAAGGGGTAGAGAGGAGTGATCAGGAGATGAAGTGGAAGATGGAGAAACAAAAAGCTTAAGACTGCTCTGAGAAGACATAGGAACCAGAGAGCTGAATTGGGATGACAGAGTAAATCTAATGGTTAAAATTAAGAGTATTCTAGGTAAAACAATAGGATATAAGATCTTATGGTAAGACTCATATTTATTCAGTGCTATACTTTAGCATCTAAAAAGCACACAGATACACAGATAATCTTTATTCACTATAATACCATTCTGTAAAGTTTCTAATGATGAACCCAAATTAACCATCATTCAATCGCTTTCGGCTTAACTTGTTTATTCCCATATTTTCACATTGCTGCTCCCATGATGTGAATATACATTTTTAACTTAATTACTGCCAACCCTTGACATCAAGTATTTAACGTTTGCCATTTGCAAATGACAATGTGGTAATATGTATTGGGATAATACCTCAAAGGTACAAAGATTAAAGAAGAAGATGAATTAAAAAACATGAATTTGAATCTCTGGTATGAAGGATTTGTAATTAGCTAGTACAGGATCTTAGGATATTCATTTTAATGTCAGTATTCTCAATTCAGAAGGGCTTAGGAAATTTCTTTGTAGGATAGAAAAATCAGTATTTTCTATGCAGCTAGTTAGTACTCACTACCATTATTTCTAATGATTATATGAAATTCTGCCAAACACATAGGAGGTTAAAACATCTGTTACTAGATATTTTGCCATCTTTTCAGGTTTTTAGTAATAATAACTAAAGCTATTACTAATACTGTGGAATTTAAATATTTTCCTTGTTTTGAATATTCTTTGGCTAAGTGCCAGAAGTGAAATAAAGTACTAGAATGTTACCCATAAATGAGATTACCAGATCCAAGGATGTTTGTTTAAAATTTTTGATATACTTTATTTTTTTAATTTTGGTATAAACTTTTGCTAGAGGTTTTTTCCCTACCAATTTATACTGCTGCTACCATTTGCATATACTAGTTTTTCTGTATATTGTAGTTCCTTAAAAGCTTTAATAATTTAGAGGTTAAAAACATAACAATATTGCCTTAATTTTTTTCTCTTGTATGTTTGTGTCACAGTCTTATTTTCTCACTGGTTGGTTTTGTCTTTTGTGGGATTAACACCTTTGTTTTCCAGATTTTTTTTTTTTTTTCTGTCTTTCTTTTTTTTTGAGACTGAGTTTTGCTGCAGGCTGGCCTTAAACTCACTGTGTAGCCCAGGCTGGTCTTGAACTTGCATCAGTTCTCCTGTGTCAGCGTCCCAAGTGCTGGGATTATAGGCATATTCCACCACAGCCGGCTGTTTTCCATTTTTAAAACTGGAAAAAATATTATCTTCAAAGATATTTTTCTTAGCACTCCCATCTCCCACCTTTGTGCTGGGTTTGAACCCAGAGTCTCCTGCATGTTAGGAAGCTCTCTACCACTGAACTACATCCCTAATCCTTTTAGTCTCTTAATTTTGGCACATATCTCTTAAACTAAAATGGACCTGAGAGTTCATTGATTATCCTTTACAAAAAGGAAGAAACCGAAATCTGAAGAGGTCAGCAGACTTTTCAAATGTGGAGTGGCTTGATCATCATTTTGAATACCAGGATTTACTTGGAGATAGGAGATTTTGCGTATTTTTGAGGAAATAGTGAGTGAAATGTAAAAGTGTAGGCACATTTCTTTACTATTACAGCAGTGTGCAGAATAGCAGATAAAGACACTTAAACCAGGAAGACCAATTTAATTTATCAGAGATAGAGATCTGATTGTAAGAAAAAAGGTAGAAGTATATTTATAGCACTTGTGAGTCATTGGGCACCAGGAAGTTTGGAAGGTAAAGGAGAAGATAGAACACAGGTAATTTGTTAATTAATTTCTTTTTTGGTTTATCTATGCAAATGATGAAGTTGGTGAAAATTTAAACATGGAAATAAGTTTAGGTGGATTTTTATTAAGCACCTAACAAACTTAATTGTGCAGTTCATTTCTGGCTTATTGAAATAGAAGATACTTTTATTTATGTTAGGTGTATAAAATCACATTCTTTTTCTGTTGCCAAGATGAATTTCTTCAAGTTTGAGTCTCATTTATCTGTACCTTTCAATTTTAGGAATTCCTTCCTCAGATTCTAGGAATGCAAATCTCTATTTTTTGGATGTTGTGCAACAGGCCAATACCATTTTTCATCTTTTTGACAAGCAGTTTAATGATCACCTCATGCCACTAATAAGGTTAGTTAAATTTTTATATTTTCATTGTATTTCAATGAGTATATTTTTCTTAAATTTTAGGAGCAATACATATTTGTGAAAATATCAAATAGGACAGGAAGTTTGAAATTAAAATCTTGGTTTTTTTCATCTTTGCATTCCTGTTTTCTTTTGCAACTGTGGTATTAATTTTGGTGTATTTGGAAAGACAGTCTGTATAATTCTGAATTTTAAATCTCATGTGAAAGCAGCATGAGATTAATAAGACACATTTTGATAAGGCATTAAGATTTGGTTTTATATTTTCATATCAATTTATATTAGCTTTTAAAGAATATGAGGTGATGTATATGTATTTAGTGCAATTATTTATAAGAAAAAATACTCATATAAGATATGAAGCTTTGGACATTTTGTTACAAACATTGGAATGCTGAGACTACCTGTAAAGATCACTTGTGATCTCTGAATCACACTTTGAAATACAATTTACTTTTTGGGGGCGGGGGGATTGAATTTAGGACCTTGTGCTTACAAGGCAGGCATGGAGACATTGAGCTATATCCCTGGCCCAAAAATTTATTTTTAAAAAGCTGTTATGCCACATAGCAGAATATTCATAGATTGTTTAGAGTTGCTTAGATGTTGGTATATATTTATAAATATATTTAATATAATATAGATATGAAAAACATGTAGAAGTTACGCCATTAATGTCATTTTTTCCCCTTTCAATATAAATAGCTCTTCTCCTAAGTTATCTGAATGCCTTCAGAAGAAAAAAGAAATAATTGAACAAATGGAGATGAAATTGGATACTGGCATTGATAGGTAAGTTGCTGGGTTTTTGTTCTTGTATGTTTTTAAATTGTGGAAGCATTATCATAGCAACATGAAAATAGTTTTAGGAGAGGTCTTAAGTCCAACTTGTTACAGCATTTTATATATAACAAATCTATACATTATATAATTTTTCACATACTGCTTTTGCCCATATTAGAATGTTTTTATTAAACCTTCATATTTTTTATTTCTGAAAGCTACTGTATTTAGATGTACTTTTAAGCCTAGTCTTTTTTGGAAGCCTTCTACACCCTATATACTCACAAACTACAAAAGTACTTTAAAAAATGGTATATAACATAAAAGGTTATATTTTATTTAGAATTTTTAGGTTTCATATTTATTTTTATTTTATTGGTGCATGTTTACAGTTCATGCAGTTTGCAGTCATCTGGGGGAGTGGGTACATACACAGGACACAGCTTTCTTTTCTTTATCCAATTTCCCTTCCTTCCCCCTCCCTCCCTCCTCCCAATTCCCCTGTCCCATTTTTTCATTCTTGTTGATATTACTAGTTGTAGCTCATGCTATGGCGTATGTTTGTATTGATTGAGGTTATTTTGTTCCTAGACATGTAATGGCTTTCTTCTTCTTATTTCCCCTTCCCATCCTCCTCACCCTTCATGCTTTTTCCCTTGGACCACTTCCCTATAGCAAGAAATCCACCTCTCTATCCCCCTTCCATTTATGCATATTATTCTCTTTATACTTTGCCTCAGTCAGGTGAGAGATACCATATAGTATTTAAGCTCGTGTGCTGGTTTATTCCACTAAACATTATATTTTCCAGGTGTATCTATTTTCCTAAAAATGCCTCAAAACTGTCATTCCTTTTAGCAGAGTAGTATTCTGTTATGTATAGATGCTACCTTTTTTATCCAGTCATCTGTTGATGGATATCCAGGCTGTTTCCAGAATTTAGCTGTTATGAATTGGCTGCTATAAACATGCATGTATTGCTGTAGTATTATTCTTAAGCTCTTTGGGTAAGATACCTAGCAGGGCTATCACTGGTTCATGTGGAATTTCTAATTTCAGTTCTTTGAGAAATCTCCATACCAGTTCCCATAATGGCTGTACTAGTTTACATTCCCATAACAAGGAAGAAGGGTTCCTTTTTCACTACAGCCTCATTGGCATTTGTTATTACTTGATTTCTTAATGATTGCCGTTCTTTCTGGAATAAGATGGAATCTTAGCATTGTCATTTCTCTAATGGTCAGATATGTTGAACATTTTTTCATATATTTGTTGACCATTTGTATTTGTTTCTCTGTGAAGTATTTATTTCTTTTGCCCATTTCTTGACCAGATCTTTAATTTTAGGTGGTTTAATGTTTTGAGTTCTTTTTATGTTCTAGGTGTTAGTCTTCTGTCTGAGGAGTCGTAGCTGGAAAGTCTTTTTCCCATTCTGTAGGTTGTCTCTTCTCCCTACTGATTGATTCTTTTGCTGTATTGAAGCTGTTTAGCCTGATATAATCCCATTTGTTGATTCTTACCATTATTTCTTGTGCATTTGAGGTTCTGTTGAGAAAATCCTTTCTTTACACCGATGTCTTCAAGTGTTTTACCTATTTTATCTTGTAGTAGGTTTAATGTTTCTATTTTAATGTTTAGATCTTTGATCTGTTTTGATTTAGTATATGGAGAGTGATAAAGGTTCTGTTTCAGTACTCTGCACACAGATAACCAGTTTTCCCAGCACTGCTTGTGGAATAGGCTATTATTATGGGTATAGCTAGATATCTCCCCAAAGCTTCATGTGGTCATAGGTGGGGTTTTTTGGAGGTGGCTGGATCTGGGGTATGAGATGCTGGGATCAAGGATGTGATGCTGGGATTGATTCATGGTGTAATGCTAGGATTAAGGCTGTCCTAGCCTGGGTGTGAGCACTACCATAAGGGCAATTATCCTGGATAGGATATAATGGACAGATTGAGGGTTGCTGCTTGTTGTTTGCTGGTTCATCGCTGATTTGCTGTCTTCTGCCTGCCAAGAAGTATTTCTTCTGTGCCATGCCCCTCTGCCGTGTTGCCCTGCCTTGGAGCCAACCAGCTATAAACTGAAACCTCCACAAATTGAGCTAAATAAACCTTTACTCCTTTAACTTTGGGTGTTAGGTATTTTGTCTCAGCAGTGAGAAAAGTAATTAAGACAGCTATCTTTCCTCCACATATGTGCTTTTTCCCCCTTCATCAAAGATTCAATAGCTGAAATTTCTGGGAAATTTTCTGTATCCTTAATTCTGTCCCATTGATTCATGTATCTGTTTTTGTTCCAGTACCATGATGTTTTTATCACTATTACTTTGTAGTATAGCTTAAAATCAGGTATTGCTATTATTGCTGTGCCTCCTGCTTTGCTCTTGCCCAAAATTAGTTTTGCTATTCTGGGTCTCTTCTGGTTCCATAGAAATTATATGAGTTTTTTTCTAGATGTGTAAAATATGCTGTTGGTATTTTGCATTGAATATGTATAATAGTTTGGGGAGCGTGGCCGTATGATAATACTGATTCTGCCTATCCAGGAACAGAGGCCATCTTTCCATTTTCTGTTGTCCTTTTCAATCTCCTTCTTCAGAGTACTGTAGCTTTCTTTGTAGAGGTCTTTCACTTCCTTGATTAGGTTAATTCCTAGGTACTTCATTTTTATTGAAGCTACTGTGACTGTTATTATTTTCTTAATTTCCTTCTCATCCCATTTGTTGTTGGTGTACACAAATACACCAACAAATACACAAATGTTGTATTTTTTTCTCCATTAAGTTTATTGGTACATTTAAAGCAGACAAAACAGATAAAATAATTTATCATTGGGATCTTGTACCTTTACATGCTATATGTTGGTTCTTATTTTTTCCCCATTCCCCTGCCATCCCTTCACCCCTCACCCTTCCCTATTTACAAAGATTTTGTTTCCATTTTTCCTTTTTTCACATTTTTTCTTTTCCCTCATTTCCTTTCCCCGCCCCTTCCCACTTCCCTTTAGCCATTTTCTTCCCATTTCACATTCTCAATTATATGATTGTTGTATGTTGATCTTGTATCCTGCTACACTGCTGAAGTTTGTTATTATTTCTGAGTTTTTTGGTGGGGTTCTTTGGGCCTTCTATGTAGAGCATCATTCATCTGCACATAATGATAATTTGAGTTACTCCTTTCCTGTATGTGTCCCTTTTTGTTCCTCTTGATTAATTGCTCTGGCTAATGTTTCAAGTACTATGTTGAATAGAAGAGGTGAGAACGGACAACTTTGTCTTGTTCCCGATTTTAGCGGGATGCTTTTAGTTTTTCCCTATTTAGTATGATGAAATAGCCATATACAACTCTTATCATATTCAGGTATGGCCCTTGTATTCCTGCTTTCTGTTGAGTTTTTATCATGAAGAAGTGTTGGATTTTGTCAAAAACCTTTTCTGCATCTATTGAAATGACCATATGGTTTTTAACCTTCTGTTTATGTGAAGTACTACATTTATTGACTTAGGTATGTTGAACTATCCTTGTGTTCTGGGATGAAACATACTTGATTGTGACGTATGGTCTTTTTGATAATGCGCTGTGTTCTATTTGCTAATATCTTGTTTGCCACGGGCCCAGCCTGAAGATGGCCCTTCTTCTCTTCCCTACTCCCTTTCTCTTTCATAGATTAGAGAGACAAAAAGATTGTAAATCCTGCATGACACAGCCCTAGGAGACAGTTGCATTATGTTTCCTTCTTCCTTGTTCCTTTTCTGCACATGCCCTGATCACAAGGTAATCACATTCCTCCTAGGCCACATGGGCCATGTGGCACTAGTTACCCCGCCTTCCTACACTATAAATAAAGAGCACACTGGACAGCAGGCAGATTAGCTCAGGCCATGGTCCCACCTGGTCCCAGCTGTCAAGAATAATCTTGGTCTCTTTGTTGTCTTTACTTCATCTCCCACCAACCTCCTTGGATGCTGTGCGGGTCGCGGCACTTGTTGAGGATTTTTATGTCTATGTTATTAAAGAGATTGGCCTATAGTTTTTTTCTTCTCTTGGATCTTTTTCTAGTTTGGAGATCAGAGTAATCTTGGCTTCTATAAGTAATTTTTTGCATTATGTTTCCTTCTTCCTTGTTCCTTTTCCACACATGCCCTGATCACAAGGTAATCACATTCAGCCTAGGAGGGCTTGAGGCGTATTGGTGATATAACATCCTTAAAGGTTTTTCAGAATTCAGGAGTAAATCCTTCAGATCCTCAGCAATTTTTAGATGATAGATTCTTTATTACTATGTCAAGTTCATAATTTTTAGCCTATGAATATCGTTTTTGATTAGATTAATTTCTTGAGTGTGACAGATTGTTGTTCCTTTTTTTTTTTTCACCAGTACTGGTGGGAAAAAGCTCAGGTCCTTGAGCTGACAGATTGTTGGATTTTGTTTTTTGACCCTGCCTGCCCGTCTGTGTCTTTTGATTGGAAAATTGAGGCTGTTAACATTGAGAGATATTACTGAGAGATTTGCTGAGAGGTGTTGGTTATTTACTGTCACTGCCTTCTTTATCTGTTGGTGTATCCTTTGTTTTTCTTTTCCTGATGTTTTGTGTTGCTTTTTATCCATTGACCTCATTAGTTTCCTTTGTTTTTAGCTGTGTCAGATTTGTTGTTTCTGTTGAGAGCTGGTTTAGCACTCATGTGTCTTCTGACCTGGTCTTTTTCAAGGAAATACCTTATTTTTCCATTTATTTTGAAGGCTACCTTCACTGGATAAGTTAACTTGGGGTGGAAGTTATTTGCTTTTAGGGCTTGGAATACTTCACTCCAAGCTTTTCTGGCCCTTAGGGTTTGTGCTGAGAAGTCTTCTCTGATTTTAATTGTTTGACCTTTACACATGACTTTTGTTTTTCTCTGGCTGCTTTTAAAAATCTGATTTTTTGCTGGATATCTGGTACTTTAATAAGGATATGCCTTGGTAAACTTTTATTCGTCTTAATTGTTGATATTTTATAAGCTCTTTTC